CTTCCCTCTCTATCCGTGTCTCATCTCCCTAGCATCCCTCCCCCTCCCTTCCCCCTCCCTCCTCCCCTGCTCCATCCTTTCTCTGCCCTCCTCCCTCGTCCTCCTCCCTCCCTTATCTTCCTGCTGCTCATCTTCCTCCTCCCCCTCCCCCTCACCGCTTCGTCTCAATCGTGCCCGGAATCGATGGGGCTGAGGTTTTTCGGAGCCGTCGTTTTTGATCGGGAACCCTCAGGCGCTTTCCCGCCATCCCCAAGCTGGTGGCCCCTTGTCATGTCCGTGGATGGTGTGAGGAACAGCTTTGCCAGCGGCTCTCGAGGCAGAGGATGCGGGGTGGGCAGTCCCTCTGACGGGGGGGGAGAGGAAGGGACATGCATAGTCAAACAGCGAGGGAGGCTTGGGAGGCTCCGCGGCCATCTCGAGCCGTCCTGGAGCGGTCTCGGGGCCGCTCGGAGCATCTCGGGAGCCATCTTGAGCCAGCTTTGGCCATCTGAGCCATCTTGGAGGTCATCTCGGGCTCTCGGAGGCCGCTCGGGGGCCTCTTGGGGGCCTCTCGGGTGCCTCTTGGAGGCCTTTTCGGGCTTCTTGGGGCGCTCTTTAGGCTCCTTGGGAGCCTCTTGGGAGGTCCCTCCCCTTCTCGGGGGCCACGATCTTCGTGAGGGGTGTCAAACATTTGCCCTCCCAGGGGCCGGAAAAGGACCCTCTGACACCTCGCGACCCCTCCGCCTTCCTGCTCACCTCCGAGACCATTCCCGGGGCCGTTCGCGACGTCACCGAACAGCCCCACCTGCCTCGGCATCGCTCGGACGTGTGCATGTGTCTCGGGGAGGACCACCGATGATCAATCCTGGATCATCTGGCAAAACAAAAAAAAACATCACGCACGAGACCGACACACGCACGGGGAATGGACGTCCGAGCGACGGCACGCTGCTGTAGTCTGGCTGTCGCGGGAAGTCGGATGGGAGGCGGGGCCTCGGGACACGAATGCGGATGTGCGGCGGGAGATCGGACATGCGGTGATCACGACTGTGTGGACGGCGTCTCGCTTCAAGCCGGTCCCCGAGCGCATCGTCTCCGTCGGGGCTCAAGAGACGGAGGTCGATGCAAGCGGGGATCAGTCAGAGTGCTGGCTCTTTCAGGATCCTGCAGAGACAAGGTTGCATTGGCCCGTGCTTGGGTGCAGGGTCTTGCAGGATCTTGCTGGATCCTGTAGACCCCGACTGACCCGCGTTTGGATTGATCTGGGTCAGTAGATCCCCCGACTCCACCCGTCTGGTCTAGCTATGCTAAGTCAGCGCGGCCGCCGCAATCTTGAGCGGCGGAGGCCGCCGGAAGGGAGTGGGAGGTCGGTAAGGGTTTTTGTTTCTTCTCCTCCGCCTCCTCCTCCTTCCCCTCCTCGTCGTCCTCCTCCTCCTCCTCATGATCATCATCCTCATGTTCCACCTCCATATCTTCCTCCTCCACGTCCTCCTCCTCCTCCACGTCCTCCTCCTCCTCCTCCTCCTCCTCCTCCTCCTCCTCCTCCTCCTCCTCCTCCTCCTCCTCCTCCTCCTCCCCCCACGGGCGCCATATGGATGTGTTGGCCTGGCGTGTGCGTCAGCGTGCGAGACGCGCTCCTTTGGGTACGCGCTCGAGGTGGATGGTCCGAGGGGTGAGCGGCACGTCTCCCCACTTTGTCTGCGTATCTCTCTGCGCTCCCTCCTCCTCCTCCTTTTCCTCCTTCTCATCCTCCTCTTCCTCCCCCTCCTCCACCTCCTTCTCCTCCTCCTGCTCCTCCTCCTCCTCCACCTCCTTCTCCTCCTCCACCTCCTCCTCCTCCCCCTCCTCCTCCTCGGCATCTCTTAAACTCGGACGTGTTCCTCTACAGGGGGAGTATTCAAACATAGTCAATACGTAGTGCGGGGACGATCTATTGAGTATACTTGAACCTGTTCGAGCAGTTTCTGAGCATGTTCGACAATTGTTCTAATGTTTCGTCGAACATTCGCCTGTAGGAGAGCTCCTGCGATCTCCCGCTCCATCTTCGTAGACCGCCCCAGCGGGCTGTCATTCTGCACCCAGGCGCGCGGTTTCGATTGGCCATTCCGCGGTCATTCTGCGAAGAACGGGGGGGGCGGGAGGCGAAGGGCTGGGGAGGGAAGGGAACGCGAGAAATGATGGGGCAGGAGGCCGGGAAGGGCAGAAGGGGGGGGGAAGGAGGGAAGGATTATGCTCCATTGTCCCCTCCTCATCCTTATGATGCCTCCTCCTCCTCGCCCCTCAAAATCTCATCATTCCCGTCCCCCTCCCTTCCTCCCGCCCCTCTTCGCTTCGTCCCCGTCCTCCCCTTTCTCCTCCTCCCCCTATCCTCCGTTTTCCTCCTTCCCCCGCCCCCTCCCCCCATTCCCCTTCCCCCTCCTATCCTTCCTCCTACTCTCATCCCTCCTTCCGTCCCCCTCCTCCCCCTCCTCCTATCCCCCTCCTCCTCATCCCCCTCCCTCCTCCCCTCCTTCACCCTCTCCCTCCTATCCTTGCCCCTCGCTCTCTCCCCCTCCTCCCTCCGCCCTCCTCCCTCCTCCCTCCTTCCCTCTCCCCCCCATTCCCACCGCGCCCCTTCCTGCCCGCCGCGCTGGGCTGGGCCAAAAATCGGCCGCAAAAGTTCAGCGCGGGGCGGCAGCCTGGAGCCAGGCCGAGCCCGACTCAAACTGTGCCGCCGCGCCGCGCGGGAAACGGACGCACAGCGCCAGCATCAGACGGGCCGATCTTCGGACGGGGCTAGGACATGATAAGCAAGGGCTCCCTCGAGGGCGCGAAGTTATTCGCGCTTCGCGCTTCGCGGTCCTCGTTCCTTCTTCCCCTCCTCCTCGTCCTCCTTTTCTCCCTTTGGGGTGGCGGCGCGAGAGCGCGAAGTTATTCGCGCTTCGCGGAGCGCGAAGCGCGAAGTTGGGAGCCCTTGGATAAGCCCGTTCCAGAGCGTTCTGGAACGCTCTCAAAGCGTTTCGGAACGCTCTGAGAAGGCCGCGGCGCCCGACACCTCCTCCAGAACCGCCCGATCTCATAGATATTCGATGTATCAAGGGCTCCCCCGAGGGCGCGAAGTTATTCGCGCTTCGCGCTTCGCGGTCCTCGTTTCTCCTCCCCCTCCTCCTCGTCCTCCTTTTCTCCCTTTGGGGGGGCGGCGCGAGAGCGCGAAGTTATTCGCGCTTCGCGCTTCGCGGAGCGCGAAGCGCGAAGTTGGGAGCCCTAGCATAACCGCCCGATCTCATAGATATTCGATGTATCTGCAACCGATGGTATCCTGTTCCCGGCTTCGTCTTAGATCTGGCCCAGACGCTTTCGGTTCGGTGGCGGCGAAGATGAATGATGGCGTTGGTGATGGCGATTCATTGAGGATGCATCGACAACAAACAACTAATCCAAACAGCATAGTGAAGACGCGGCCTCACTGAGGTCCCCGTCGCTGGACCAGGGATGGTGAATCTGAGCGGTCTTGTTTGATACAGGCGGCCCGGATTAGCAGGTCGACCCTGCCAGATCAAGGGTACCCTCGTGTCCTGTGTCTTGCGACCCATGCCTCCTGCATTTCTGTGGCAACGTGGCCCTCGGAAGGGTCTTGTGCCCTCTCGCGTGTCCTCTCCAATCAAGTCCGACCGTACATCTGCAGATGAGGCCCCTATCCTTAATGTTTTGGCTCTCCTGACTTGGGTCCCCTCCCAGGGGGTTAGGCGCCCCTCCATTGCTAATCAGCTATGACCGTGGTCGCGGTGGTAGTAATGATGAGGATGATTGTGATGGTAATGATAGAGTCATAAGGATGATGAGCTGGAGGATGACTTTGACTGCGCCTGTGGTGTTGTAGTGATGCGCCAGCGACGGCGACTCCGACGACTTATGCTGATGATGCCGGTGTACATGATGCGTGTTGACGACCACCATGGGTAAGGGTGAAGGTGATGATGACGAGAAGGATGGTGAGTGGATGTGGAATTGGGAGCGGAAGCTCTAGAAGACGCTGGGCTTATCAATGTGCCATTCCTGAGTTGATCGGTATTATTGTTCGGCGGAAGTGCAACTCTATACACTTGGCCGATATCACTGCTCGGTGGGACCAAGCATCCTAGGCGACAAATTGCAGCACATTTTTACATTGGCACACCGGGTGCGAGTGCGAGGACGTTTTCAGTTAGAGCAGGGGATCCGGATGCAGTGTAGCACGGCAGCCATTAGGATGGGTGTGATGAAAGGAATCTGAGCAGGGGATTGGGAGTTTAGGATGGGGCAGAGGATAAATGGATGGAGACATTAGAGGGATGCCGAAGAGGATGAGTGAAGGAGGCGAGAGGAAGATTACTGTTAGGAGAACGGTTGAACATCAGTAGCATCATGAGAAGGATGGCGTCCGCAAGTCGCGTTTTCAAGGGATGCGTTATCCATGGCGGTTAGATTGGCTGGAATGGCAAGTGCTGTCTGCAATTCTGATGGAGCGAATCATTCTGCTTGGATTCCCCGCTGTAGGAGGCATTCGTTTCATCGACCAGTTGCGGGACGGACGCCTTCGTGTCACTGGCACATCCACCACAAATCCCAGTCCCCCCCTCGTCCATCACGGGAGTGATTTTGGACGAGGAGGGATTAAGGGGGAGAAGAAGGGAAGAGGAATATGGGGGCGGAGGAGTTGGAAGGAAGGAGCGGGGGGGACAGGCCGGGCGGGGTGAGGAAAGGAGATGGAGCTCGAGTTGAAGTCGGAGGGGTGATCTTCGCGGCACAAAATTACCATCACATGCTCCCCAGTAGGTGGCACGTGCTCCACAGCGCCCCGCGGAGGGGAAGACCACCACAGCCCGCTTTGCTGGCGCGACGGTGCTCTGAAGCCATGTTTTTGTTGACAGGTTGCCTGCAGGCACGGGGGCCAGGACCGACTGCACTGCAAAATCATATCTGAGACGGCATGTACAGGAGGGCGGAGCCGGCAGAGTACGACGGGGAGGGAGGGGGGGCGGGTTGCAGTGTGCGGTCAGAGCAGCTCTCTTGGCCCAGGGGCACCACCATTGGCACGCCCCGCCGCCTGCCTGGGGCGTCGGATTGGTGGTCGCCTTAGCGGCCCATCTCGATTGGTCTTCTTACTCGTATTATTGATGTATGCTTCATCGCCTGTTAGCATTCTGTTTCGTACTGTCATTCTGAAGTGTGCTCGCTCATTGCGTGGGCTCTCGCTTTCATCCGTTGCTGCTGGGAGAACCCGAGCGGCATGCGGGAGGGAGCGCAGTGAGGACGACCACCAGCGGCCCCGGGCATCGCTTCCAGGCCCGCCCGCTGCGCCCGTGCTCCCGGCGTGCCTCCGAACGCGGCATGGGCTGACGGCCTCCACCGTGGTGTCTGCTGGAGAGCGATTTTTCATTCCTGAGCAAGGGCTCCCTCGAGGGCGCGAAGTTATTCGCGCTTCGCGGTCCTCGTTCCTCCTCCCTCCTCCTCCTCGTCCTCCTCTTCTCCCTTTGGGAGGGCGGCGCGAGAGCGCGAAGTTATTCGCGCTTCGCGCTTCGCGCAGCGCGACGCGCGAAGTTGGGAGCCCTAGTGTCTGCTGGAGAGCGATTTTTCATTCCTGAGCGATGGCGAGCGGTACTGAGGTTTCGCACCGGCGCCGCCCGGGAATGCTTACGAATCGCCAGGAAGCCAAGCAAGAATCGTGACGCTACACTGGAGGGAGGGGCGCGGGGACGGCTGGGGCTTGCAAAGGTCGCCATCGCGAAGCATAAACGACTCTCTCGTGCCTCCCCTGCCATATCCAGAGGCTTCGCGTGTACCCATCGGTCGTTGAAAGTATGCATCTCTGGATTCCCATATTCAAATCTACTTTCAGCGCCTTCCTACTTCAGTGAGAGTGGCTTCACCTTTTCCGTCCTCCTTAGGGGGGATAGAACCCAATATATGTTCAACGCCTTCCTACTTCATGGTTCTACCTACTTCTTCCGACCGATGGGTACACCTGGGGCCAAGCAAGCACCTTATTTCATGAATGTCTTGAGTTAGACTGTCGTCTAAACCCTAGCACTTGCAGCTCCGGATCTGCTGGACCTTGCGCAGGATTTTCGCAGCTCCGGACTGGTCCAAATACGTGCGGTCCTGCCTGATTGCCGTCGACCTCTTGTTTACCAGGGGTCGACAGAAGTGAGGCCCACGTGTGCCTATCGGGTGGCCCTGGAGCGTGTCCCGTGCCCTGCTCCTCGATATCACGGGCCCTTCCACCGAGAGGGTGCAGGGGTGAGGTCGACCGTACGCACCGACACCTCTTTGCAAGGCGCGGGGTGCTGCGTGCTGGACAGAGGTTGCTTTGGTGAGCGCGGCGAGCAGCTTCTTCAGCTTGCCGTCGGCATTGGCCCTGAAGTCTCAGAATCGTCGGGCCCGTCCCCATCCCAGGAGGGCCAGCGCTCCTTGGCGCCACCAGCGTGCCCCGTCGCTGTCGGGACGGATGCCGCGCAGCCCGACGGAGAGAACACGGAGCACCCATCCCCAGTTTGGGGGGCACGTTTCCGCCGGATGGCGGCGCTCATGGACCGTCCTGCTGGCACCTGCGGCCTCCCTTCACCCCTGCGCGGCCCTGCCCGCTCCGCTCCCCGGGCGCGCGAGCTCCGCGAGCTGGCAGCGTGGAGCCCGCCTGCCCTCACCAGGCTCGAACTCGTCCCTGCCCCTGGGGCTGACACGCCGCCAAAAGGCGATGACAGTCTTTCAGGGATGCGCCCCTGGAAAGCTAAGGGAGTCCCTAAGATTGGCACTTTGTGGGCCACGGAAACGGCAGGGCTGTTTTCTTCACCGTTTCCAAGTAAATGCCCCTTGAAAATGGAAACGGCAAAAAAACAGCGACCGGAAACGGCAACAAAAACGGCTCCAGGATTGGAACCGGAGCCGGAACCGGTCAAAAAACGGCGACGGAGTGCTTTTCGTGACTGCGGCCGTGCGCCGTCAGCTGCCGAGAGGCACTGGCGCTGGCGCCCCCCAGTCTGTGGGGAGCCGAGGCTTGCGAGTGAGGGGGTTACCCCAATATCGGCTCCTCAGACCATCTGACCTTGGTCTCAACGAAGTGCTACCTACCTACCTCCTCCTCCTCCTCCTCCTCCTCCTCCTCCTCCCTTTCCCTCCTCGTCCTCGTCCTCCCCCTCCGCCTCCTCGTCCTCCTCCTCCCCCCCCCCCTTCCCCCCGCCCTGCCCTCCTCCTCCTCCTGCCCCTCCATCACCTCCGCACCAACATGAGCGCTACCCTTATAGTGGGCCCTGGACACGGCAGGGCCGTTTTTTTACCGGTTCCGTGTTGTCGTTTTTGGCTGGTTCCGACGCCGTTTTTTCACCGGTTCCGTCGCCGTTTTTTGACCGGTTCCGGCTCCGGTTCCAATCCTAGAGCCGTTTTTTTGCAGTTTCCGGTCGGTTTTTTGTTGACCGTTTCCATTTTCAAAGGGCATTTATTTGGAAACGGTGAAAAAACGGCCCTGCCATTTCCGGGGCCCACAAAGAGTACTACCCCCCTCTCTCCCCTGGTGGCGCCCGGGAGATGGGTTGTGTACACTCGGGATTCCCGGGAGATGGGTTCTCGCTTGGCTTCTTTGCCTCAAGATGTTGCTCCCGCTGCAGCGCTGGCTTCATTTTTGGGTTTCCGCTCGTTCCGAATCGTGCTCCCGCTTCAGCGTTGGTCTCATTCCGCGTTTCCGCACATCCCGAATCGTGCTCCCGTTGCAGCGTTGGCCTCATTTCCGCGCCTCCGCTCGTCTCGAATAGTGCTCCCGCTGCAGCGTTGGCGTCATTATTTCCAGTGCCATGCCACAGCTAGGGGACCACATGCGAACCCTTTCCGAACGAAGTGACCCCCACCCTCCCCCTGAGAAATCGTGGGGAGTAGGGGTAGTGTTCGCATGCGGTCCCCTGACGGCCTGGTTTTCGGTCCTTCCAAATAGGATCCAAACTCGTTTTTACATGAAACACTCCCGCAAAAAACCATCGGAAGTGAGTCCACATCCAGTGTCGATTCGTTGATCATTGATCATTGGGGCCGCAGACGCCCTCCCCCCCATTTTTGGGGTCGTCGCCACGCCATGCTATGTCATGCGACGCGTTGATCTCCAACACCATGTTATGCCATGTGATGCTATGCCATGATGCGACATCCGACTGTGCGAATACAGAGGAGATCTACGCCATGTTAAGGGATGTGAAGGAGGGGTAGGACGTCAAATATGACGTGAGCGCACCTAGCTTGCCCCATTCCCCTCTCCCTGCCCCCCCCTCCGCAAAGCAATGTGTCGCAAATTCTTAGTTCTGTGAACTAGACCTGGCCCGCGCGTGTGGAAGGCACTCGCCACCAGGCACGCATTTCCTGAGCTGTCCATACTTGTTGTGCCCTGGTCTGGACTTGCGCCTCCAGCTGCCGGCATTCCTTCAGCCGATGTGTCGTGCGGACACGGCGTTATTGATTGATCGGTCGATCCGATCGATCCGATTCGTCTTCAATCTGATTTATCCGATCCGATGTCGATGTGCTGGCGATCCGATGCGGCCCTCTGCTGGCGCAGTCGTCGGCGATCAGGAGCCTCCCCCCCTCTCTTCCCCCCCGCCCTGTCCTCGTCCTCCTCATCCCCCTCCTCCCCCCCTTCTCCATCTCCCTGCCCCCGTCCCTTAGGAAAGCAATCTGTCGCACATTCCTAGTCCTGCGAACTACATAGCCCGCGCGTGTGGAAGACACTCGCCAGAAGGCCTGAACTGTTCATGCTTCTTGCGCCCTAATCTGGACTTGCGATTCCAGCAAGCGGCACTTCTTCAGCCGATGTGTCGTGCAGACACGGCGTTATTGATTGACTGGTCCACGTCGATCCGATCGATCCGATTCGACTTCGATCCCAGCCGGCCCGATCCGATCCGCTGCCGAGATGTTTGCGATCCGATGCGGCCCTCTGCTGGCACAGCTGTCGCGCGTCCTGGCACGGCCGATCAGATCCGATCTCGGCCCCGTGCCGACGCAGCCCGATCCGACGCCCGTTCTGATCGCCCACGGACGCACCGACACACGACGCCGGCGGGTCGAGGCGAGGGCCAGGCCGCCTTGGCCTGTGGAGGCTCCCTCGTCGCCGCGGTTGGATGTGTCTCGGGAAACTGATAAGTTTAGACCCTGGGACGTGTCCGGGGGGTCGATTTTGGGCGCCAGGCGGGAGGACCGCCAGCTAGCCCCCCTCGGGGTGTTCTCCAGCAGCGGCGCCTCGTCGGGAGCTTTCTTGGGGTTCTCCGGGGTCGCCCCCCGCCGCGCGGGCCGCCGCCGCCGAGAAGAGAGGCCTCGGCGGCAGGCAAGAGGGCGGCAGCGGCAGGGGCAGGCGCAGCGGCCGCAGCTGCGGGCGGCGGCGGCAGCTGCCGCGCCGGCTCCGCCTCTTACCAGCCTGGAACATATCCCTATCCCTATGCTGGGCACCTCCTCATCACGATGCCAATCTTAGGGATTCCCTTATTCTTTGAAGGCGAATACCTAAGCTTGTCATCGCCTTTTGTCGGGCCGGGCGAAAGGGGGGGATTGGGAAAGGGGGGGTTACGAAATTTGCTGCATGCAGCTGATTTCGGCCTCACCGAGGGGACCATTCCTCGATACATGGCCGCCTCCGGCGCCAGGAGGCGCCGGGAAAATCAGCTACGTGAGCTGATTCTCAAACCCCCCCTTTGCTATCCCCCCCTTTCGCCCGACCCGATTTTGGCGTGTCATTCTTAGGGATAGGGGTACGTTCGAGGCTGGTAGGCCTCGGCCCCGCCCGCGCGCCCCCCGGCAGCGGCGGGCGCTCGTCGACGGCGCCGCGACCCTCTGGAGCGGGTTGCGCCCGGCCTCCTCCCGCGTCCGTGCTCCGTGCGGCCGGGTCCTTCCTCCCTGGATCCCCTGCTGCGTCCCCGGTCCGTCCTCCGTGCTGCTCGGTTCCCCTTTCCTCCTGCTGCTCCTCCTCCTCCTCCTCCTCCTTCGCCTTCTCCGTCTCCTGCTCCTCCTCCTCCTCCTTCGCCTTCTCCGT